TGTGAAGAAGTGGCAGAACACAGCTTCAAACCTGGGATTCTTTAGCTAGATTTTAAGGCTTTCTTTTGAGTCAGTGTTTCTCAACCCTGGCTGCACGTTAGGATCACCTGGGGAGCTTTTAAAAAACTCTGATGCCTGGGCTTCACCTCAGACCAATTCAGTCACGGTCGATGCAGGTGGATGTCAGTGTGCTGTGAAACTCCCCAGGTGCTTCTCATGTGCAGCCGGGGCTGAGCACTCTGCTGCTTTCCCCCCCGTCAGAAAATGAGCATGGGGGAAACAGAGCGGACTTGTGTGGACAGGGTGCACGGACCACTAATAGAATTTTGACGTTGTGGCTCCTTAAATAGCCTCCCAATTGGTATGCACATATTGTAAGTAATTAAGTTTGAATGATTTCCTTTGTTTGTTATTTTCTTTGTGCTGCTTAAAATGTAGGTTCTTGACTCACGCAGACTGAATCAGAGTAACTTGTTCTTGCCTTTATACCAGTGTAACAAGGCACATAGCACCTCGTCTTCAAACAGAAGAGTTAGAGCTCGTCTGGTCCAATGGCTTTCAAACTTTCATTAGTGAAGAACCCTTTTTTTAAAATGAAAGCAGATGAAGTAGAAGCCAGGGCTCCAGACCTTTCCTGCTGGACTCTGCCGTGCTCTCCTCCCTCCTGGGCACGTATGAACATTTGTTCAGTCAGGGGTTGATGTGACCTGGGGGAACTCAGAGGTAGAGAATATGGTGTGAAGATAAGTTGTGGAAGGTTCTTGTTTTACTGCTGAGGAAAATGCGTCCAAGAAAGGGATTCCAGAGTGAGCAGAGGAGCTAGGACTTAAGCCTAGAAATTCTGACTTTTCCTCTGCTGCCTTTTTATACGTGTACTGTAATTTGTGATTATGTGGCTGACATCATGATACTCAGGTGGGATGTTGTGATGGTGGGTTGCCAAGCCAATGTCAGAACATAAATACCCTGACTCCCACTGGGGATCCTAGACCTGACTTGGGGAGGTCTTCCCCAGGGAGCAAATTTCCTTTCACTGCACACTCTCCCTTCTCCTTTCCCCCACCTCCTGGGACCCACCTCCTGGGACCCTGTGGGCACTGGAGTTAGAGTGAGGCTGTGTTTATGCCGTGACGCAGGTGAGCTTGGGGTTTGGGGATTACTGACTCTGTAGGCAATTAATTGGATCTACATCTAAATCTTATATTTTTGTCTCCTCAGACTGTACTAAGAAAGTCACATAATTTCTCAGATATGAAATGCTTTAAAATATCAGTCATGTACTCACCCCATTAGGAAAGGATTTTCGACTCTATTGCATTTACCCTGCTTTCGTTCCATTGGCAGTACTAAAGAGAGTCAGATTTGCGTTGCACAGCATCAGGCAGGGGCACAGAGACCCTCCTATGCTATCTTATAGAAGATGGCTCTTCAAGGTAACACAGCAATTAGTTGGTTGTTAGGATGTTTTATTACTGTTGCTACAAGCTGTTGCTGCATGGCAATGTATTTGAAGATACTTTTGCATTTACTTCTCACAGCCCAACTTGACAGTAAGGTGTATATGGAAACTAGCTCACTAAATGAAACTAATCTGGCCTGAAAAAATCATAATAAGCAAATAGGACATTTTTTTAAATTAAGAGTATAAACCTCTATACTACTACCATACTTGAAGTGTGGGGGGAAATAGTATAAGCCAGAAAAAAAACTGAAGTACATAAAGAAACAAACTTTTAGGCTAATATGCAAAAATACTTCAACCTATCTGCCAACATAAGATAGGAAGCCCTAATTAGCCAAGCAATGGCACCTGTCAGGGTTTTCTCAGGGCTCAGGGACAGTCACCCTTTATGTGTTCAGTCTCACTCTGTTGTCACTAGAGGATTCTTCTGCCCAAACAAGTGTCCCCATCACCATGGGCTCCCTTGGGGGACAGGGAATTTCGACCTTCCTCTCTCATCAAGAGCCACAGAAGCAGAAAAGCAAAAGAATGAGCCGATAGCTCATATAAAAGGGTTGAAAGTTTTTATGTGTAATTATCATAGAAAAAATAACTTTTATTATTAACGAACTTTGAGTTGAGAAGCTATCAATTTTAAGAAAAACCTAAGACGAGACCCAATGATACATCTAATGAGATGTCCGACTTCTGTTTTGAGAAGGCTATCGAAGGGACCAAATAACGATGTAACTGCCAGCAAGTTCTTGAAGTCGAACCTTGAGTTATGATATGGCTCCACTTAAATCTCCAGTATGTTATATTCCAAAGTTGAAATGGAATTATGGAGTTAGCCTGATTCATTAAAGTTTTAGTTGCACTGCTGTTATTATCTCCATGGAAAGCTCATTGCTTCTCCTCTGTTTAAAAGAGGTGATATAGATGCAGAAATAGCTATGATTTTATGTTTTTAAAAGATAGTATGAAATAATTATTAATTAACTAGAATATTTACATAAATTTAAAGACCAAGTTCCCTAGCTTACTGATAACCAAAGCTTAATTGTAAGAGTCAGAAGGGATCTTAAAAAATTATCTAATCCATTATCTTCACTTTACAAATGAGAAAGTCACCCTGAGCTTTTGAAATTCTGTCATTGTTCCATCCATAGTAAGTAGACTATTTATATTTTTAGATAGACTTAAAAAAATCAGGACTGCCCCATACTAGTTAATGGTTCTTTAAATCACTCAGTTCTGAGCATCTGTACAGATCCTAAGCTCAGTATCTTGTATTACAGCCGGATGCTGGTTATGCAGGACTTAACAGAAAGTGTAAAAGACAATGGACCAAGTTAGAGTCTAGTCAATTTTTTTCAACATTTGAAAATCCAACTCTGTTTTGGTAAACCTAAAATCATGTCACTTCTTTAGACTTACTGATTTTTTTAAAAAGAAAAATAATTGACTAAAAGCAAATCAAAACGATGTCAATTTTAGGTGAAATAAGTGCATATGCGTGTGTGCACACATCTACATCTGTGTTTCTTACGTGATTACAGGAGCATTAACTCTATTCATTTGCCATAAAATTTTCTTTCTAAGTGGAATGGAAACTAAAACTCAGCAAAGTTGTTTCTGATGCCAAGTCTGTTCCACTGACCAGCTCCTTCCCTCCCATTTTATGGCCCCTCCTCCAGTTCTGCAGACAACCATTCAGATGGCGGAGACAAATTAAGGCCTGCGTGTGTGCTGCCATGGCTCCCTGGGCCAGTACACATGCACTTCAGTTTGCTGTGTTGGTGTCACATTCACTACAGATGGCCTCGCCTGCTCTGCCCAAGTGCAGGGGACCATTTGGGACCATTTAAAACCATTAGAGTGTTTATTTCTGACTTACAATAGGCAAGCATACTCTAACCCAAGTAGAAACGAGATTTACTGTCATTTTCAGTTATAAAGTAAGATCCCAAGGACTGAAATTCTCTTAAGTATCTTCTAATGGGTTCTTTGTTTTACTTTTCCTGTTTATTAGAAATCATCAGAAACTTGAGATCTGCATTACTTCTTTTAATAGTGTATGTATATTTCATTTGATGTTGAATGTTCTGGAATGGTCTCCACATTTTAATAATGATGATATTGTCCTGGAAGAGTCATTGGTTCTATCTGCAGAAAATAATGTTTCTGCATGTGAACCAAAGCATGTTCACAAGGACTAAATGCATTTTTTTTTTTTAAATGAAGACTCAGGATTAAAGTGTTGGAGTGTCTGAGAAATTGAAAGGCAGCCTGGAGATGTACAAAGAACTCTAGAGTCAGAAAGAGCTGGTCTTGAGTCCTAGCTGTGTGGTCAGCGAGTTACTTAACATCTTGAGCCAATGTAAAATGAGAACAATATTTCCGTCTTTGAGGATTAAGCGAGGTAATGGGCCCACAGTGTTTCATATCGAGTCTGGCTCCTCTTAGTCAGATATTCAGTAATGCTAGCTGTTGTTGTCTGTGCTGTTCTTAGCATGAAGAGTCTTACTCTTCTCACTATCGTTACACAAAATAGAAAGTGTGACTCTGGGCAGGCTTGTGAAGACCCAGAGAGGCAGGGCATTCCAGGTAGAAGGAAAGAATATATGCAAAGTTGAAAGCGTAGAATTTCATGTTTCATTTTTCCTCCCACAGAACTGCTAAAATTGGAATGAATATGGTTGGTGGTTCAGAAAAAGTTGAATTAATGTTCCAAAGGAATTCTTTTCCTTTTCTTCAGTCACCAAGTCCTATATGTAAACCTAGAAAATAGGAAATATCAGAAAATTCATTCCTCCCTCTTCCCATCTTTCTTTACTTTTTTTTAATCTATTATTTTCATTGTAGGATTAGTCCTGATATGGCCTTAGGTAAGCCATCTGATCTTGAGATCTTTATTTGATCCTACATGCACTGCTGTACATCCATGTGTTGCTTAACCACAGGGATACCTTCTGAGAAATGTGTCATTAAGCGATGTCTTTGTTGTTGAAATATCGTAGAGTGTACTTACACTAACCGAGACGGTACAGCCTATGACACACCCCTGCTCTATGGTGCTAATCCTATGGGACCACTGTTGTATATGAGGTCTGTTGTTGACCAAAATGATGTGATGTGGCATATGACTGTGTTTGATTTCAGAGTGCACACTGCAGTCCAGAACCTTCTATTGATGACAGTGATTACTACCTGACAAGCAGGCAGTGTCTTGGGCATTTGAGCTCATCTCTGACTCATCTCCCTTTATTAGTAGTCTTTGTAGGGAGGCCAGAGACCTAGGGACTGACTCAAGTTTCACACACCTGACCTTGTTCTACAGACTTCCATCTCAAGGGCACTACACCTTTAAGGAGGTCCTGTAGGGGTGTGTAGCTCCAGGACTGCTCCCCAGCTGAGATGCAGTGCATGCCAAGGGGTGTGAGCGCAGCCTCCATTGACTTAAGGAGAACATCTCACCCCTAGGGAAACCGTCCATTCCTATTAAGTCAGGGGACACTCAGTTCCACTCACCGCTTCTCCTGTCCTCTCTTACTTGCAGAGAAGCTCACGCGGAGGCAAAGGCCGAGGTGCATGCAGCTGCCGCCTGGACGTGCGTCTAGTCCATGTTGACGTTTGAAGAGTCACAGAGTGTGGTATGTTTATACGAATGGCGCCTTGCACTTTTAACAAGACTGTAAAAATGTTTCCTGAGAACAAGCAGAACTTGGGACATGATGATGCTTGATGTTGAATTAGGCCAATTGAAAAAAAGCATTCTTTACGTCAGTATTTCTTAATGTTCTTGATATTAGATGCTCCATGTTACTCTATCGTGTAATTGATTAAGTGTGCATGTGTTAAACCAATGCAGCAACTATAACTTCTCATATCTTTACACTGATGAGAGCATTGTACATAATCTAAATATTTCAGAAACAAGCCAAATCAAGCCCAGGGCGTTAACCAAAAAGCATATTTATGTTTCTACATGGTGTTTTTAATTTCTTCCTTTTTCATTCCTGATATTTATATGGTGCCCTATAGATTTCAGACTACTTTCACGCAGATTCTTTCAGCAGAGAGTTCTGAGTGAGCCTCTGGGGTAAAACCTGTACATTCTGGTATTCCCTTTGTCTTTCCCGTGCAGCATGTGACAGACTCAGAGCGTAGAGGGGCAAAAGTGAATTTTTTGAAATCTGTTGTTCCTCTTTACTATTGATTTATACATGGAGAGACAAACTGTTAATAACGCTCAGCAGGTGTCATGCGCCCACTTTGTGCCAGGCCACACTGGGTAACTCCTGACTCATCACCTTTTCAATCCTCACTGTACCCTTATAGGAAACATTGCCCCCTCTTTGTAGGCAGGAGGAGAGCAGGGCTGAGGGACGTGCCCAGGTCACACCGATTTCAAAGAATTCACCCAGAACTGCAGCCTTGTTTTGACACATTTCCTTCTTTTAGGGTGTTACCTCCTAAGCAGTTGTTTGTATTCCTTTTAAAATCTACCTTGAGATGTAATTTCATTGATTTTCAACTCTGTTGCCGAGTAACAGCACCTTGACCAGAGTGTGTTGCAGACCTCTGTCCCCCTCCTGTGAGCGTGGAGAACACGCTTGGCGTCCCTGGACCTCTGCTTTCTCCTCTACTGACGAGGGGGCGGGACTGAGAAATGCTACTCTTAATACTCAAATAAAACAAATTTAATCCACATCAAGAGTGTGAGAAATGGACCAAACAGCGGGACCTGATATTCTCTATTTACTATGCAATTAAATTTTAATTATTCAAAAATTATACATTTTTCAGAACACTCTTTATTCTCCCTCATCTTTTGGTGGAAACATCATCAGGAACGTGTCCTCTGAATGCTGTCATTCCCACTAATATTGAACTGCCAGACAGAGAGATTTCTTAACTGTGATTTTCTTTACATAATTAGTATATGCCCATTGTAGAAAAGTTAGAATGTTAGAATGCATAAATATATAATTCAAAAGTTAAGACACTGAAAATGCCAGGATTTAATAACTATCATTGATATGTTGGTTTAAAATTCTTTGTAATAGTTTTATTTGCACATGTAATTTTAACTTAAAATGGATTATCCTGGACCTTTGGTTCTTCACTCCTTTTTTACTTTATATATCATACATATCTTTCTATATCAATAAATACATTCCTAAAATATAGCCACATTAAAATATATCTAACCAATCCTCTATTATAATTTTATCAGTTGGCTTTTTAAAATTTTGCTTTATAAAAAAAGTTTTAATGACCAATCTTTTACCTAAACCTTTTTACACTGTTAATTATTTCCTTAAGATAGATTTGTAGTACAACAGCTAAATCAAAGGATATGTACATTCCAAGGCTTTTAAGAGGGCTAACACTTTCAAAGGGCGCCTCCATTCTTGTCTTGTCATGTGACTGCACACCCTCTGCGATTCTAAACATAGCGAGCCATCCAGTGTTTCAATGGTCTGCCATTCCATATACAAATCTTATGAATTTGATTTTAATAAAAGGTAATCTGATAGTATGAGGTTTAAAAGGCTAAAATTGTATTTCAGAATATTTTCTGAGTTCCCAAGAACTCAATTCCAAATCTTGCACTTTCATTCTCTAGATTAATTCAGCATATGAAGTACCTGCTGTGTGTAAGCCATTCAGCTACCTATCACGTTGTGATATGTAAATAAACAGGACATGGCCCACGTTTTTGAGGATTCGCCTTTTAGTATTAGAAACCACACTTACACTGGGTCCCCAGATAGATATTATGGAAAACACTAAACAAATTTCCTTTAAAAAATATAATCTCACTATTAGCCATTTAATACAGTCACCATGATTATTCTTAATGCCTAACCCTGAGTATTTCAAGATCCATAACCTTCGGAGATGGATTGTATCGTGCTCATTACAGTGGACTGCAGAGGATTGTGTGCACTCTCGACCCTCACCAACCCCTAAAGAGGAGTTTTTTAATGCTCTTCTTGGATATTTCTGGGAATGGATAGCCCTACTACCCAGCAAGGCAGCCCATAGCATTGTTGGATTGTGTTAATGTTGGAATATTATTTGTAATATTCTTGAGGTGAAATTGCCATTTTATATTATGTAACTGTTGTTCCTAATTTTAGCCTCTGGAGAGATATAGAATGAGTTCAATTCAATTCAATCCAATTCCAGGGATATGTATTTATTCATCTTACGGTCAGGAACAGTTCTAGGTGCTAAGGGCTAATTGCTATTTCGTAGGGCAGTATGTCAAATATTTGATGGTAGTTATCATATTTTCCTAAATATACAAGTTAAGTAACTTGCCCTATTCAAGGTAATTGAACTGTTATTACACTAAGCCTGCTAAATTTCTATAAAGCAATGAATTTCTATCTCAATTCTTGACCGTACTCCTGAGCTAGTTGGAGAGATTCCTGCAGTTGACCATGAGGACAGAGATGACCCCCCCACCTTCATACAGATTACCAAAGATTTGGTTAAAAAGGGAACAAAAGGCACTTGCCGCAAACTATTAGTACTTGTGCCTTAAGAGTCCTCACCATGCTGTGTGATTTGGTGTAAAAGGTGAACCTGAAAGCAAAGTGGGAGCACCTGGGTATCTGTCCCACATCCTCCACTTTTGACAAGCCGTTCAACTTCCATAGGGCTGGGTTACTTCATCTATAAGAGGAAGGACACAGTGATCTCCGCAGGGACTCCAACCACTTCCCCCGCTTATGGGCCTGGGCTTTGGACAACACAAGAGGCCCAATCTAAGAGGCAGAGCCTGGGCTGAAGCCCTGAGCCTGAGCTCCCCAGCCCTGCACTGCCCTGTGGGTGGCAGTGAGAGACTTCACTACTCCCATCTCTAAACTCCAGGTAGCTCTCCATCACTTGGTCATCTCAGAGATAACCGCCTACAAACAAGCCAACTTTGATATGCAAAAATATAAAACTGACAATGACCACAGAAACATAGCAATCCATAAACCTTGTGAGCTATACAATCCAGATGTGAAAATGATGTTTAACCAATGATGCTTGTTTCACTAAAATGACCAAATTTTGTATCATGTTGGCATGAATACTATATGCTTGAAATCCTCCTTGTATGAAGAGAAACTTCTTAGAAAATTTAATGCATTCTATTTTAGTTCATGGATATTGTCTTAGTTTTTAAGTTTTCTTTCTGATAATGATTTTTTACTACTTCTTATACCTGGTCTCTTTCAAATTCTGTGTAATTTTACCACATCAAGACTTTTGTTTCATTTAACTCTTATCCTCATCCTTGACTTTATGCTACATGCATGTCTCTGCTTCTTTAAAAGGTAAATCATGTAATTACAGCCTGTTAAAGTAACTTTCTACTTACTCTTCAGAATAAGTTTACTCTCTGCTTAGGAGTAAGTAAAAGTAAATATCAGTGTCCAGTGTCAGCCTATTTGAGAATATAAATAAAAAATTCTCATAAACATGAATGGACAAAAGGGAAATACAATGGAGGCTTTCACTCCCTTGGAAACTAACCAGCCAACAACCATGTGGTGTAATTGAACCTGGCCGTGGAGCAAGGTGCTTGTGGAAGTTTGAAGAATAGTCTCATTTCCTTCCTTCCTTCCTTCCTCCCTCCCTCCCTCCCTCTCACTCTTCTTCCCTTCCTCTCTTCCTTCCTTACTTCTTTTTTCCTCCCTCCCTTCATTTTTTCCTTCCTTCCTTCTTCCCTTCTTTCTCCTCTCCCCTCCATTTCTCTCTCTCTCCTTCTGCTTCTTTTATGTTGAGTGGCTCAATCATGACAATATATGACCATTGATATGTAAGAAAGCATTACTTTCCTCCACACTTTAGACTGTGGTCCCTTTCAGAAGGAGCCCTGAAATATGGGGAAGTAAATACTATTAGCCTTTATAACATCTCAAACCATAGGACAAAAGGAGTTTTGTCATCTCTGCCCAGACCTGAAACCCAAAGAGGGTCCTACTGTGTCACAACTCTCAAGATATTAAGAAATATTAAATAACTAGAGGGGCCTGAAAACAAAGGTCCACTCAGTGGATAATCTTCTTTTATATTAACAATCATTTTTAAGTAGCTGGGGTCAAAGATGACAGCTGAGATGGTCCAGAACTGCTTCCTTCTTCTGACACAAAAGTCACAATGATGCAGGGGTTTAGGGGAGGGAACTCAGAGAAGGCTCTGATGGATGGCCGGCACAACCCTGTGCTTCCCAAAGCTGGGCAAGGAGGAGTCATGGAGGGCAAGAGCTGGCCAAGGAGATAGGTGATGAGAAGACTAGAATAAGAATAGGAGAGCTGTTGGTATGGTCCTTGGTGATGTGTGCCCTTCCTTCTACATGACCTGGCTCTCTGGCTCAGGCTGACATTTTATCCCTTAAATTTCCTCCACCATCCTTATTTGTTTCTCTTTACATGAGACACAGGTATTAAAATACAGCCAGAAAAAAAACGTATTTCATCTGATTAAAGGTTGGGACCTCATACATTAGAATTTAAAGCCTCAACTATATAAATTATTTAAAATATCAACTGCATCATATGAAGGAATTATTGCTAATTTTGGGGGTATGTAATAAGATCCTGACTGTGTTTACAAAATAAAGTTCTTATATTTTAGATATGCATAC